AGTAACACTCCAGACAGGGAGGATAACTGGGGGTATCCACAGAATTCACAGAACACGCAAGAACTGGCAACCCAGCTAGGAAGCAGGTGCAATTCTGCAACTGCTTCCAAAAGGAGGTACTATGTAAGGGGGGCAAGCAGAGAGGCCTCTCCTGACTCTGGCACCTCAGGCATGACTTTGGGGTCCATCGAATACTGGGGCCCCTTACACACATCTGTTTCACAGGGCACGTCCGAGAACGGTCACGGGTTTGAGGACATATGTTCTCAGGAACCATCCAGAATAGTTTTGGAATCCTCAGCCAACTCAGAAGATTGAGAGAGTGCAGCTGCTCTCACAGAGCCTGGGGGAAACTCTGGCATTTCTGTCAGTATGCCCTATCAGGGGTCACCTGCAAAACCTGTGCATAAAAGTCCTGGTCTAGTGAGCCCATCAAATGGGCCAGTAGGCCAGGCACCCTTAAGGTCAAGTCCTGGTCTGTCCAATCGGGCAGGGGAGCTGTCAGGCCAGCCAAGCCCCCTAATCCTGCATAGGTCCCAACAGGTTAAGGCCTCTCCTAAACACCTAGATGAGTATGTAAGATTCTTGTCAGCATAAGAACAGTACAAGTCTAAGGTGAGGAGATGGAACCTATGTGGGTAGCAATAGAACCCACGAAGTACACATTAGAGAGTGGCAAACAAGTTGTAGTAGAATGGAGTGTCTGTAGGATGGAAAAAAATATTATTATTTTTAATATATTATTTTATATTCTTGTATGGATTGTAAGAACAAGTACCTTGTGTGTTCTAGCTAAGGGGGGAGGGGTGTTGTGTCCTGAGCCTGCAAATGCAGGCTCGGGACATTGCAAGGTTTCCGGGCAATTGCAAAAGCTGCCCGGGACCAAACTGAGTGGTGCCGGCTGAGCGCACATGCGCAAGGCGCAAAAAGTGCCTAGTGATGTTGCCATCTTGTCCGTGAAATTGGGATGTATAAAAGGAGGCCTGCGTCCCTTTGCTCGTTGTTGGAGTTTGAAATAAGCACAATAAAGAGCTGTTCCAGAGACATGTGTATTCTTCATTCACCTTTGCTCCCAGGACATAACAGTTTTATTTCACTGAGTCTTGCTTAAATGTTTTTGTCAGTATAATGTTGTCATGGTTAGATTAATAAACTATATATTTCTTTTGATGATTGATTCTTGTATTAAAACAGCAACAATCGGACTTCCAATGGATCTGCGCGGGCGATGGCGGCTACTTTGTAGCCGTCCTCCTGGGTAAGTAATGAATCGCTATGAACAGCGGACATCAGCTGTTCAGCGGTTCAAAATCCCCCTCCCGGGCAAAGGGGGGGAAGAGGGTTGTCTGAATAGTGGTAGAGCCACTTACGCACCCCCAATATTTTTTTGGGGGTGTGAAAGGAGTGCTCCCACGGAGTTCAGACTGTCTCCGCTTCCCAGCTGCTTTTGTCCCTAGGGACAAAACAAGCCATTGCAACCACCTCCGCGTTTAAAGAGATCTGGTGAGGTTTTTTTAGAAGCGGATAGAGTTGACTATAGGATTTAACTTTTGCTTTTTTTGACTTTATATGGATTTTTTAAAAGATTTATTTTTACGTTTTTTTAAAGATTTATTTTTACGTTTATATTCCCTCTTTTTATTTTTTACTTTTTGCTGAAAGGGAAAGTAAAATGGCGATCGTCAGACTTTCCGGCGTTTTTTCTATTTTTTTAAGCATTTTTGGTGTTTCTTTTTTTCCCTTTCCTTTTTTCTTTTTTGTTTTTTTTATGATAGGAATGGAGTGTTAGTATTATTATTTTTGTTTAATTTTTGTGTTTTATATTTTGTACTTTTTGGTACTTTTAAAAAATGGAATGGATTTTTTTTATTTAATTATTATTATTATTTTCTTCTCCTCCTTTTTCTTTTTCTTTTTTGAACTCCTTTTTTTTTATCTTATCATAATGATCCCCTCTTGAAGGATTTTTTTTTTAATTTATGGAGCTAATTTCTTATTTTTCTTGCTTAATTCTTGCAATTTTTAAGAAGGAGTAAAGTTTTTTTTTTAAGATGGCTCCAAAGCGTCCAGTAATCTCTACAGCTTCCAAGGTGACTTCTTCTTCGGTGTTATCATCAGGGCAACAATCTAAATTAATAGTTTCACCTTCTTCCTTGCCACAGTCAACAATGGTGAAAGACTTGCAAGATATGATGGGAGATGTTATACTTCAAATTAGGGGAGAAATGAAAGAGATTTTAGAGGAAAATAATAAGACTTTGAAGCAAGAGATAGTTTTGACTTTAAAAGGAGTTGCCTCTGTTCTTGAAAAGTTGAATTTTCGCGTAGAAGAGGTAGTAGAAAAATTGGAAGTGATGGAGGAAAAATTTGAAAGTATGGAAAAAGAGATGAAAAACTTTCAAGATGAGATTCTTATGCTTCAATATAAACAAATGGAATATGCCTTAAGAATCAGAGGTTTACATGAGTCTGTGCAAGGAGATTTGAGAGAGATGGTGGCAAAGGACTTTGCTGTGATTCTGAATAGAGAAGAAGAGAAAATACTTAGTGGAATTGATCAGACATTTAGAGTTAACTCTGTGGTGGCAGAGCAAAAGAATTTGCCAAGAGATATGGTAATTTACTTTGGGAAAAGATCCCTGCGCAATGAAATTATACAAGCTTTTTATAAGAAGAGGTTTCAAATTGCTTCACAAGATGTTATAATTTTAAAGGAGATCCCACCAAAAATGTTAAGAAGAAGAAAGGAGTTTGCTTTTTTAGAAGACGAACTTAAAAAGAGACAAATTTTGTTTAGATGGGATGTTCCGACTGGAATGGTGGTGAGCTACCTGGGGATACGTTATAGTCTTAATACTGTTTCTAAAGCAAAAGATTTTTATACTTCGGTCCTGGGGGTATGCTCATCGTCACCTACAATGCTTAAAGCTTTGGAAGAAAAAAAGGCAGAATTGCAGTTTGAGGGGCCCCAACAAGTAGAGATGGAGGAGCAGAAAACAATTTGTGCAACATATAATTGTAAAGAAAAGGATCAACAGAAGAAGTTTAAGGAAGTTCCACAAGTATTGGTTCCTGAATCTGAGGGAGAAGTAGGATTTATAAATTCTTTGGAGCAACCTTTAATGCCAGAATTGCAATCTGAAGAGTCTATATTAATTAAAAATGGGAGGCCTCAACAAGTAGAGATGGACGAGCAGAAGATAACCTATGCAATATATAACTGTAAAGAAAAGGATCAACAGAAGAAGCTCAAGGAAGTTCCACAAGAGATGAAAGACCAGAAGACAACTTGTCCAACATATAAATGTAAAGAAAAGGAGGTTGAGGAAGCTTCACAGGTATTGGTTCCTGAGACTTGTGTAACGTATAAATGTAAAGAAAAAGTAACATATAAACGTAAAGAGAAAGACCAACAGAAGAAGGAGGTTGAGGAAGCTTCACAGGTATTGGTTCCTGAGTTTGTGGGAGAAACAGGACTTACAAATTTTTTGGAGCGATCTTCAAGGGCAGATTTTAACGCATTTCTTTCGATGCTTATGGGCAAGAGAGACTGATAAGGATTGTGTTTATAGTGGACGTAACCGGTTATTGGACAGAAGATTATGGAGACTGAATGAAAATTTTAGATAAGAAGTTTAAGTAATAGGTTTGGAGTATATTATAATGTCTTCAACGTTTGGGGTTTTTTTTAATTATTATTATTATTATTATTATTTTTAAGATGCAATTTGTTATTGGTAAAGATGTATATTACAATGTGTTTAAGATAGTATTTGTTATTGGTAAAGATTTAAATGCGTATAAGGGGATCTTAATGTTTTAAGTTTTAAGTTTTAAGTACTGTTTAAATTTGTGTCTTGGAGGGAGTTTATAAAGAATGATGGAATATAAGTATGACATGAAAAGGTTTAGAGTATATTATAACGTGTTTAATGATTGGATTTTTTAAATTATTATTATTTTTAAGAGAAGATAATTTGTTTAAAGTTTAAGTTTAAGTATTTAGCTTAAGTATTCAAAGAGTGTTTTGTTTCAATGGTATAATGAAGGTTTATATGTTTATTTTTTTGTTTTATGATAAAGAAAGAGGGAGAGATTAGATTTATATTGTACGTATAGATGTTCAAAGAAAGTAATGTTTAAATTTGTGTCTTGGAGGGAGTTTATACAGAATGATGAATAATATTATAAGTATGATGTTAGAAAATGTTTAGAGTATATTATAATGTGTTTAAGGATTGTAATTATTATTTTTTAGAGAAGATAACCTATTTAATTTAAGGTATTTAGATTTGTTTAGGATTTATATGTGTTTTAAGTTTTTCTTTTCTTTTTTTTGAAAAATTTTAACTAAGCCTGTACTCAACTCTGGGAAGGTTGGGGGAGGGTTTGGGAGGTTTGGGGAGGGGGGGAGGGTATGGGAGGGTGGGGGGGTTTCGGGGAGGGGATTTGTTTTGTAAAATTTAAAAAAATTTCAATTAAAAAAACAGCAACAATCCAAACCAGCTGTATTATTGTCTCCAAGTACAGTGATACCTTGGTACTCAATTGCTTTAAAACTCACCAAATTTAGTCCCCAACGCATTTTGAAAATTTTGTCCTAATATTCATCATTTGTTTGATACTCAAAGCACAAGCTAGAACTTGTCGGTATCAGCTGCCTTGTCACTCACTACATTATTCCTTATGGGAACAATTTGTCTGGTATTCATCATTTTTTGTATTCATTGTGCCTCCCAGAACCAATTACTGATGAGTGCCAAGATACCACTGTATGTTTTAATACTTCTAAACATCTCTGAACCACTCAATCTTTAAAATACATTGAAATAGCATGTGAGTTTATTTGACTATATTGCACTTTAACCATATTACCCTTACTGCTGTACAGCAAGTAATTTTAAGCCATGACCCTTGCTAATAAATGGGGAATGATTTTATATTATAAAATTTGCCCTATTTTGATATTCATTCCTGAAATGCTTCTTGTGTTTCCCCAGATCTGGCAAAATCCCTGAACTAAGCATGAGATGCAGATCTTGAGTTGCAGGCTCTCTTGATTTGGCCACAGGGAGGAGTAAGACAGAGTGACAGCTCAGCATATTGCATCACATCGTTTGTATCAGGTATCATCAATGCCTTGAAGTGATGTCAGCTCTAAAAGTAATTTCTTACTGAAGACATGAATGCTACCAGTAGGTGTTTCTACACAGGGTAATTGTTTGGACTTGGTGAGTGGTTATATGGCAAAACTGGGCATAGCTAGAATGTCCTTTGGAATTTTGAAAATATCTATAGAACTTTTTCAAGGGGGAAATATGACAAGAGATAGCAATAGGTAAGAGATAGAAAAGCAAACTGTATTTGCTGCTGAAATCTGTTCTGCACTGCTGTTAAAGGGATGGGAGCTGACCATTTGCAAGTAATAGGACTGAGAACATCAGAGTTGGAAGGGACGTTGGAGATCTTCTAGTGCAACCCCCCAACACACAGACAAATGGCTTTCCAGTCTCTTCTTAAAAGCCTCCAATGATGGAGCACCTACAACTTCTGAAGGCAAGCTGTTCCAGTAGTTGATTGTTCTCACTGTCAGGCAATTTCTCCTTAGTTTTGGTTGCTTCTCTCCTTGGTCAGTTTTCATCCATTGCTTCCTGTTTTGCCTTCTACTTAACATTGTTGTAGAATTAGTCTAAATCAAGATTCTCCAATGTACTGTTTGTATTCTACCATAAGTAAGAGTGATATGTAATTGAAGTTAGAAGATAAGAAAACATATTACCAAAAGAAATTACTTATATAATTGTGTCATGTGGTATTTTCATAATTTGTGGTGATGCATGTCATCTTCAAAGATCTCTGCAGTGGAAGTCAAAAGGGTGCAAATGAGAAAATCAGTGTTGCATCAATGGCAGTTCATTTCCTTTTGTACATGTATCGTGCTGTGGCATGCCTGTATAAAATAGGTGGTGTTTGTGATGTGAAGGAACAGAGTTTTGTTGTGAAAGTGCAGTGCTATTTTTGCCATTTTGTTGAAAGCATGAGATTCTGTCAATGCCTCTAGGCATCTTCCTCTTTATTTTGAAAACAAATCTTAAAACTTTGCTGGAAGAGAAAAAGAAATAATTGAACATTCTAACTAAATTAAAGGGAGAAAATCTTTCATTGATTTTGTTTTCAGAATCAAATGCTTTCAAATCTTCTAGATATTTTTGGATATTTGGAATGAATATATCCATGGCAAATATGGACACCATTAAATAGGATGTTCAGTTATGTACATCTACTTGAAAAAGTGTGTATTTTATATTTCTCATGCATTTCAGTTGCATTATCATGGTGGTATACTACACATAGTGACATTATATTGAAGAATTAATTATCATTCCTCATTATCTGTGCTATAGAGCGCTAACAAAAAATAGCAGTGTTGATTTTAATTCACTACATATTTATGCTTAAAATATTCAGTGCAGCACAAATATTAACATTCTATTTTGAGCAGTAGCATTTGGGGTGTGATGGGTGGGCTTTCAGAAAAAGTCAAAATAATGGTTTTGATCCTGTCCCTTTTTTGTGTGCAATTATCTAAGCCAGTGTTTCCCAAACTTGACAATTTTAAGGCATGTGGACTTCAACTCCCAGAATTCCACAGCCAGTGTTGCTGGCTGTGGAATTCTGGGAGTTGAAGTCCTCATGCCTTAAAATTGTCAAGTTTGGGAAACACTGATCTAAGTGACAGTAAAGCAAGCCTCAATTTATAAATTGGCAACTGAACCATATCAAATATTTCAAAAATTCTGGCACCACAAATATAATTTGCTGATTAAAATCAAACAAATAACTTAATTTACCGTTATGACACATGCTGAATGGGGAGACAGCTCAGATTATTTAAATTAAATAACAGAATAACAGAATAATAGAGTTGGAAGGGACCTTGGAGGTTTTCTATTCCAACCCCTGCTCAAGCAGAAGAACCTGTACCATTTCAGACAAATGGTTGTCCAGTCTCTTTTTAAAAGCCTCCAGTGATGGAGCACCCACAATTTCTGGAGGCAAGCTGTTCCACTGGTTCATTGTTCTCACTGTCAGGAAATTTCTCCTTAGTTCTAGATTGTTTCTGATAGCCAAATTTGGCCGTAGGTTCTTCCTTGGTTTACCTTCCCAATAAGCAATCAATTTAGAAAATTATTTAAAAGCAATTTATTAGGGTGCCTTGATAATGTGGGATCTATCTATAAAAAGGAGAACCTCAAGACCCATCTTACATTCCCTTTTATAGTTAACACAACAAAAAAATGCAAAAGGAAAGTTGTTTGGACAGGATAAAAATAACCTCTCCTTTGCACAGTAAAGCAACTACAAAGGTTGTTTGAAGTTCAAGAAGAGACATACCAAATGCCAGTTTTGCATTAAAATAGTATCCATCCGTTCTTCTGTAGTTACATTTTCAGTTTAGGAATGTTAGAAGTTTTCTTATATTCTAATCTATAGTGGTTTGATAAATCCTCATAAAAGAGAGAAATAAGTTAAATTCAAATACAAAGTAATTATGTTAGTTAACAAGTTACATAATTCATGTCAAGTGCCCCTCACTTCTCTCCTTGATTAGTTTCCATCCATTGTTTCTTATCTTTCCTTCTGCTACTTTGGAAAATAGGTTGACCTCCTCTTCTTTGTGGCAGTCTGTCAAATATTGGAATACTGTTATCATGTTGCCCCTAGTCCTTCTTTTTGCTAGATATATCCAATTCCTGTAACAATTCTTCATGTGTTTTAGCCTCCAGCCCCCTAATTATCTTTGTTGCTCTATTCTGCACTCTTTCCAGAGTATCAGCATCTTTTTTATATTGTGATGGCCAAAACTGGATGCAGTATTCCAAGCACGGTCTTACCCAGGCCTTATAATGTAGTATTAACACTTTGCATTATTTTGATTCTATTCCTCTGTTAATTCAGCCTCGGATTGCATTGACTTTTTTGGCAGCTGCAGCACACTGCTGGCCCATACAAGTGACTGTCCACTAGGACTCCTCCTCATTTCTACCCACACTGACACCAGACAATACTATTTCGATTGGAGCAACACTAAAATCATCAGCCATGCTACCACCTGCCATACTTATGAGTTCATCGAAGCCTGGCACTCGCAAGCAATTCCATCAACAGACACATTGATCAACAACCAGCCTACGAACCCCTCAGAATCCATATCAACTGCACAGCCAACCAGAGACAGCACCGACCCTCAACCAACCCATGCAAGGTCCCCACACCAGCAGTTCACCTCCCAATGACCCTGACCTGATGTAACCTCCCCATCACAAGACCCATCACAAACCTCTCACTGATGACTCACACTTGACCCATCACAAGACCCTCACTTCACACACCCACATCTGAAGCCCTTATAAACAGAAAAATACTGAAACAGATATCCCCTAAAAGCCACTGAAGATGTTACCTAGCCTGGTAATGAAACATTCGGAAACCAACCCACAAGTTCCGAGAATGAACCTTCATCTTCATCTTATAATGGACTATCTAGTCCATTATCTCTAATCAAAACAGTTAATTTTGCCATCTCTGCCAACTCAGTCAATTTCAAAATCCATTCTTCAACAGTTGGTATCTCTTTTTCTTTCCAGTGTTTGGCAACTACAATCCTTGCAGCCATCACCATGTGAAGGAATAACACCCCGAATCATTTTTCAATTGATTTGCCCTAAAAGAAAAGCTTCAGGTTTAATTAATATTTGTATCTTAATTATTTTTGCATTGCCATTGTTATATTTATTCAGTATGTTTTCACATATTTGAAAGGCCACCAGATATGATAAAATGAAACTGGATTTTGACTACATTTCCAGCACTTATTAGAAATCCCTTTAAGCATTTTTGCTAGTCTATCTGGGGCCAAGCATCAACAATACAGCATTTTATAAAAGTTTTCTTTCAAACTATAATTTAATGTAAATTTTAGTCCCTTCATCCATACATTTTTCCATTTATCTAGTGTTAAATTATACCTATTTTTTGCCCATTTTACCATATACTAATATATTCATCTTCTAGATCAAGGGTGTCAAACTCAATTTCATTGAGGGCTGCATCAGCATTATGACTGCTATCAAAGGGCCAGTTGCATGTAAGACTTCTGGGGTATCAGGGGGCTGCATTCTTTGTGGCACTCTTAAGGTCCCAATAACCTGAGATGGGAGAGTCTGAGCAGTAGAGAGACCAAGCCACAGATCTCTTGCCCGGAGGGGCATCAAGCAGCTTTGAAGAAAGCAAGTGCACTTGAGCAGCATGTGGTTTCTCGACTAGCTTTGGTCCAGGCCCAGCCCGCGTGAGCCCTCTGCCTCACATTTCCTCATGTCTTTGGGGAAAAATCTGCGATGAGAGTGGCTACTTGGTGAAGGAAGAGAGCAGCACAGGTGAAGGAAGAGGAGGAAGGAAAGGCACCGAGGCAGGGAAGGGGAAGAACTAAAGAAACACATCACCCAAGTGCCTTCCATCCTTTCTCTTTCCTTTCCTCCCTTTCCTTTCCTTGCCAGCCACTTGCTTTCAGGCAGAGAGTGCTTTAGCCATGTCCACCCAGCCCTGTGGTTACTGCTGCAGCACAGCTCCATATGTTTGGAGAGGCTCCCGCTGCCCTTCCTCTGTAGTGCTGCTGCCACTGACAAGATTCCCGAAGAAATGACGAGGTAACTATTCAACCACTCCTCCTCCTGGTCTGCTTGCAAGCCAGATGTAAACACATCATGGGCCAGATCTAGTTGGCAGGCCTTGAGTTTAACATGTCTGTTCTAGATTCAGCTTGAATAACATTTTATATACTTGTCCAATTATCTTTAGAACATAAATTAACATCCAATTCAGTTTTAGTTCCTGTGAAAACAATTTTTTTATCGTTTAAATCTTTAAAAAATTCTGTAATAATTAAACCCATCTCAAATAAATCTTTCACTTATTAGTTGTTCTCATCTTTATCTTAAATCCCTCTTTTTCAAATATCAATTAGTCTTGATGTGTCATCCATTTACATCCCAAAATCATCTCTATTCTATTTAGTTCTTAATGAAGAGATAGCCAAAGTGGCACTTTATCAGATAATCTTCTTTTATACTTCTACCATACACATGCAATCAATTGCCTAATAGCATGAATCTTAAAACAGAGTTAACTTTTACTTTGTCATACCACAGATAGAT